AGGTATAGGATGTTTTTGTTTATCTTAATGTGGCGCGTAAATTGCATCAATCGTACAATCCCCGGTGAATTATAGGGAAATTAGTTGTTATGGTTACCGGTGGATTATTTTGACGGTTAACGTACTCTCATATTATAATGTAGTGCCTTCCTACCTAATTTCGGCCAAGTTTCAAGTTTTTTGACAAAATAAATCATTTTCTTATAACAACATTTTTGGCGGTTTCTGATTTAATGACAACATTGACAACCACATAAGTGTATATTATATATAATATATATATATATATATTGTGAATATCAAAGTCTATAACTGAAGCAAAATATTTTCATAAAAATGTCTACGGATAAATATCAAATCTATAATTATATCTAGGCACTAGTTTTTTATTTGTGAGCATAACTACCTACACATTAATTTGAAATATTATTTTTATTTGATAAGTGATATACTATTCGTTTAATTATCGATATTTGTATGAAGCCATGAAGGTAGTGAGCACGTATATTTTCCAAAAATATTTTGATTCAGATTATAGAAATCAAACTGTATAATAAATTGCTTTTAAAAAGCGGGTACACGCAACTTAATCGCGGAGCAACAATTAATATTAGGTATATTATTGTTATTAATCTCTTTGGTACAAAAACGTCCGATACAATACGATAATAATATAATGTATTGTTAAATCGAGACATTATAAATTATAACAGGTATGTCCGTCATCGCTGAAGCGTTGCGAATAATGGCGGGTTTCTATATACACTTATGTCTTATGTGTATATACCAATAATAATAATAATAATACACGAGTTTATCTACCTACCTACGAAAAGTGAAAATTCTAGTCGTTGTTTTTAATCGGATTTAAACGGATAAAACGCATACAATATATTACCGACTCTCGACTTTTTATTATTATTGTATTAATATATTGATCCCGGCCGTGTCCGTCGACTATACGATCCATACCTACGCGTATAATACCATATTGTACGATGTATGGTAAATATTTATATTTTATGGTTGTCGACTCGCGGGCGTAAGAAATACGTATTATACTACGTACTTACTACTTACAGATGTTATAATTGTTAAATCTGTAATTTAATAATAAATATATTATGATTTATAAAGGTGTACCCCTATCATATAGTAAGTTGTATCTATGTATTCGGCCACATGTACCTATATAAACGTCACAGTATAGTCTTTGCACACGCTCTCTGACGATTTCAAATCGTAAAATATAATGCAACGTACGCGCGCCGAAGTTGCTGCCAAAGTTTTGCCTAACTCGACGCGGTTTTCATTTAAATAAATATTATATTATATTATACTATAGATTATACTGTACATATTTTAATGTAATTGTGTGCGTGTTCGCCCGTTTGGCTCGAAGAATTTTAATATATTATCCCGTATTTTTTGTTGTACATTTCACTCGAAGAAAAACGCTGAAACTTGGAGACACACCATACCATGTATTATAGCCTATATAGGTGTGCGATTAGCCGCAATTATGCGTATTTACTATTTACTATATATTTTATGAACTCGATTGATGTTATTTCGACCAAGTCAGTATACGCCCAGCTCACGACTATAATATTATAGTGTTCGGATATTCGAATCGCTATCGCCTGTATTCGCGTCGATCACCTATATTATAAAAGTCGTGCACGAATAACGTCATAATATAATACTTAACACGCGTATTGTATTGATAATAATTTTTTTCGGAAAAAAATCCAATTTTCAAGATATATACGTACACAATATCAAATATATTGTACATACCTAAATTGCAGTGTTTTCCGCTTAAAATTTGTGGGCACGTTGGGAAATTAAATCACCCACATTAAGGCGTTTGGCCATATAAACCGAAATAACCTTGCAGTAATGCAGTTAATAGGCATATATTGCAATATTGGGACCAGATTATTTCTCCCATATTACGCGGATACCAATATTAACCGGTGCCCCAAAATAGGCGGAATCCACTGTACCCAATTTAAATAATAGTAACACAATTTTTAATTTTTAATACAAATTATTGTCCACACTCGAGTAGATAACGTGGTAGGTTTCTGACGTCCATCTGCTGAATGTCCTTGTCAAAAGAGTGCTCTTAAAACGGGTGCTAACCTCTATGTTTCTATAGTGAATAATAATAATAAAATAATAACAATAATATGAATCATTGGGAACGGTCATCAACGTTGGGATAGGTTTTATAGTTATTTAATCAGTATATTATATAAGGTAATTATAGGCATTTACTATAGTCTATAGAAATATAATTTACTAGCTGATCCCGTGCACTTTTGCACTTTTTCCCGATGCCCATTAAAAATACCAACGCTATATGAATAATATGTTTTTTTTATGATATAACGGTTACCATAACAACAATTTAAAACCAATGATAATTATTATTATAGCTTTAAAACCTACGGCAACCATTTATAAACAAAAATTTCCATCGGAAATCTCAAAATCCCTGTTTGAGCACGTCCCGTTGTTGGTCTTCTCCCGTTCTAAATTAGCCTATCTTCTGCCCAGAGATCTATAACCTATCTCTGTTCCAAATGATACCATGTACTTCGTTGCAAGGCAACCAATCATTATTGTTATAATAATAGCTTCAAAATCCATGGTAACCATGGCTACCAAAGGACACCCACACAGACGGACAAACATTCTATAAATATATAAACTTCCACGTCCCTTTAATAAATTCTCATCAAATTTACATATTGTACAACCTGTAAATATATAACATTTTGTTCAATAAAAAAGGAAATAGCATTTTTAATATATTATAAACATTTTTAGAAAAGTATTCTTTTGAATTTAAAGCATCAAATTTGAGTGATTATAATTTTATACCATTTTACATAAATACTAATTCTATTCGAATATAGGCACATATATATTATGTGACTAAAATATAACGAAAACCGTTTGTTTTTATTTAAAACCACAGTAATTTACTGAGACAAATGACGATTACAGTGGCCGGTTAAAAACGGACCACCTGTGAAAATAATAGGAACACATACATAATAAGAGGTATATTATTGTTCCCTATCCGCATCTAAACAATGAACATGGCCTAAATACTTAATAATACATAATACAACGAACGACAACTCGAAAATATTAACTACTTGTTGAGAAATACAATATGATATATTATAACATACCTATTTTGTAGTTATCGCGACCGTTATAATACGCGTATAAGCACTTATTATAATTTCCATGGGTGCAATATATACTGTCCGATGCGTTTTGTTATTTTGCGTCACGCACAAAAGTATTTATTATTTAATATAATCCTATATAGGTTATAATATCCCTGAACGATCGCCTACAGCGATGATGAATACATCTAGAACCGTGTTCAATTCGTCCATTCTGTTACGTTATACCTACAACAAATCAATATACCTACCCTGTGTGTAATATGATTGAATCGATACTAAATCAAAATTGGGTTTAAAATTGTCAATAGAAAATTTATAGAATATTATGTATAGTTGAATGGATTCGAGATTGATATTCAACTATAATGCATTAATATATATATAGATACTAATCAAGCAAATCGATTGATTAAGCATATATATATGTATGTATGATGTTGGTATGCCGGTGTACATTATACCTACGTATAAAGGCAGAAGCATGTAGAATTATTTCTCAAAGTTCGCTGCACTGATCTCTGTATTATAACGAAATCGGATATTTTCGGATATGTCATGATTACAAACGAATATTACGGTTATATTTCATGATAAGTAATGTAACACGTGATATTCAAGTACCTATATATACGGTCTGACGCTCTGTATCTATACGTTAAAGTGACGAAATAAGAAACAATTAATAGTATCTCTGCGGTAGTAATAATACCTATCTATGTATAATATAGTAATTATACTGATACATTCTCCACGTAAAATGTCACAGCTCGCTAAAATACAAACCAGTGAAACCCCTACCGCATATTATACTCTCGAACTTTGTCCGAGACACCCTGCGTACCTATACTATTACAATGTTATTATATCCACACACCCGCGGCCAAAGTGGCTTTGCAATATTATATTATTATTATATATGTTCTTTGGAAGGACCGCTTTCCCTTAAGTTTATCCGCGAGTTCCGACTCGGTGCAGGCGCGCCGCCGAACGAGAAACGCAGACGAAAGTCACCACCACATCGTCGACTGCACGTCATGGCGACGTCGCCGGAGATATCGACTTGATAAATTTCGTAATACTCAACAAGATATCGAACACAATTTTCTATCGAAATGCCGTCGAGCGGGTTTTGTGTAGTGTGAACGAAAAAAAAAAATCACTTTCTTAGTTTCTTCGCATTCGTCGGGTGATGATAAACGATCGATTGTTACCTATATATATATATATATGTGGCTATTTATCAATACCATTTTTTAGCATATGCATACATATTTTTTCATATTTGTTCGTTTTTAAATAAATGTATATTCCATGATATCATATATAAAACATATTATATTAATGGTTTGTTTTGCATATATTAAATTTGATTTAAACATTTTTAAATAGTTCATGACAAAATTAAATTTTTTTAATTAAATAAACAAATTTATATTATTTTATATTCACGTGAACAATTATTAAAAATTAAATATTTTATACCTACTGCTATAATCACAAGGTTTTCACGTGAGATATCAGTGTTCTTGGTTTTTTTCGATGTACCATGATAGAATGTTAACATTTTTTATTCTTTGGTCAAAACGCTTGAAAATTCAATGCAAGTCTCCTCAAAAAATGTTTACATTGCTTACAAATAAATCAAATGTATAGCCGTATAGGTATAATAGTATAAATAGTATAGACACAATACTTTCACAAGCCGCGTAATTTAATTTTACTATATTATACTATATTAATTGTAAATTGTAATAGTTATAAAATAAAAACCATGACAAAAACGTTTATTTATATAAATCTATACATGGGATTATGACAGTATGCCATCTTGTTATTTACAGGTTGGGATCCACGTCTGGGCCGAGTCATCAGTGAATATGACACTCTCGACCCCACCAGCTGGAGACGTCGAAACTCTGTCATCTGCAATCTCGTCGACTTTACCACCGGTTCGGCCTGTCGAAGACGACACGTCAGAGTCAGAACGCTCGATTCAGAACGTGGAAGCAGAGGTGGTAGAGTCGACGAGACTGCACATGACAGAGTTTCGACGTCGCCAACTTGTGCAGGGGTTGCGGGTGTCATATTCACTGACGACTCGGCCGGAGACGGAGAATCATCAGTCGAAACGGCGAAAGATTCTGCAATGGGTGCGATCGATACGTCTGTGGACTTCGTGGAATCGACGCCAAACCGAACCATCTCTGCTTCTACGTACTGAATGCTGCATTTTGATTCCGACGTGTCATTTTCGATAGGCCGAACCGGTGGTAGAGCCGACGATACTACACATGACAGAGTCTCGAAGTCGCCAACTTGTGCAGGGGTTGCGGGTGTCATATTTACTGACGACTCGGGCCGGAGACGGGGAATCAGTCGAAAAGGCATTTGATTCAGACCGGATGTTGACAATATCGGAAATTTCTGCGGTAATCGAAATCATATTGTTTTGAAAACAAAGGTACTGCCGTCAAAATAACAAACGAAACGTTAGAGAGTTATAATTTTTCCACTTGCAAGTTATAAAAATTATTCACGATGTGTGTTTTCTGTACAACGGTCAAATAATTAATACTGAGTATACTGTCGACTGAGATGCAAAAGCTTGGTATTTATATTTCAAACACTCTCGAAGCCCATGGCGACAAGATTATTCTAGTTTTTGTGAAACGAGAATGTATTAAGATTTTTTAAGACCTGTTCAGTGTTCTTTTTGAAAAAATAATTTAAAATTTAAAAAAAATCATTTACCTACCTACGATAATTATTTATTAAAATCTTATTTCTATTTTTAAGTTATACTGTTCAAGTACAAAACTAAAAGGCATTTTATTATTTAAATGAATTCAGTTTTTATTCAATAAAACAAATTTTATGATTGAAACACTACTTACGTAAGTAGAATAATCACTGCGAAAAAAAAAGATTTATATGCTCGAAAAACCATCGAAAAATGCTCTAAAAAATGGCTAAAAATGTCCATAATATAAGTATTTTACCGCAATAATACCCTTAAAAATTGACATGTAAAATAATATTTTTAATGTAATGATTTTATTAGGTACACCTAAATAATTAAAATAAATAATACATTTTAAATAATTTACTGAGCATTTATTAAAAAAACCTGAAGTTTGATGAAAATTTGATTAGTAGTTCATAGTGTTTATAAATTTTAATCACGGCCTACCAATTTTACTATTGGATATATGTTTTTCCCTCTGTATAGGCCTAGGTGAGTAAATAGTTAAAAGTATTTTTGGATCAAAAAGATATTGCCCCCCTCCTCCTCTATAAAAGACGAACCAAATCCTCTACTGAAGTCGTAAGATATACAAATATGCAAACTAACAAAATTTCCGTAAACTGCTGAAAAATGCTCGAAAAATTAAAAAACATCCAAATATACAACAAAATACAAAATAAAAGTTTCAATGTATGAAGTATCTGTTTGATGAAACAAATTATATGTACTTGGAAAGCATTGTCTATGATCACCAAAAAAAAAAAAAATAAGAAATCATTGAAATCCTGGCCTTATAGTTATAATTATAACAATCTAATAATCCGATGGTTGCCTGGTTATTCAAATTGCACATTAATTTATTTAATATTTCGTCACACGATTTCTACCGTCCAAGTGTTATCCTAACCTAAATAACCTAAAATGTAGTCGGACATAATTTCTTTAAGTACCAAAGTTTTTCATCAGATGACTGTATAAATTATACAATACCTCAAACATTATATCGTCGTATTTGTGCAATTAAACAAACATAGGTACGCGTTTGATACTGCCTCGATATATAGAGACGGCGCGTGTTTCACAACAATTCTTCATGCGAACTGCCGCAGATTGTTAATTGTTACCTTATATACATAACAATATGTAATATATTATTTCTATTGTTCTTGCAATCTCACTACACGTACCTATATATTATATTCCTATGAATTTATGTGTTGTGGTTCTAATATAAAACAGGTAGGCACGTTATTTCTTATGCGCGCCCGTTCCGAAAATCCACAATCTGCCGTATTGTGAACAAGACAACAAGTAGTAACAACTATACATGTAATAAAATATGCGGCATTGAAAATCAAACGGTGCTTTTTTTTTTCTCGTAATAATTAAAACGGATGATTTCAGTGTTTGTTATAAGTTTTAACGACCTTATTATATAGTCTACGACCTATAAACATTAAACATATAACATATAACAATATAATATTATGCGCTAGGAAAGTTTTACGTGTCGGGCCATCATACATAATATAATACACACACACATTTTATACATTTCACTCTGTCTGGAGCATCCCTCTAATTTTTTCGTTTACATATATAATAGATTTCACCCACCGAATAGCGATATAAATATGATTCCCTTTAAAAACTACACCACCCATACTATAAAGTACCTACATATTGTAATATCTTATATTATTATATCGGTGACTACAACTAAAATGTCTGATAATTTTTTTTATCCATATATATTACCTTGCTATTTCGGTTGATCAGGTTCACGGGTTTTCGCGTACATCATTTATTATATGTACCCATAACAACTGCGTTAAGTCAAATACAAAATAGTCCTATGTGAATACCCCTCATCATTTGAAAAATAAAAATTGCACCACTCTACTCGTTGTTATAATAATAGGTACTATATATAGATACCACACTATATGTCTATATGTGTTGGCGCGATAAACGTGTCCATTTCTTGCCCCTATACTTAATAATGGCATAATATATTGTTTTCGTTTCAATGTTGTCATGCATCACGACATCGTTTATGATAAACTCAATGATAATTCATATTTTATTATACCCCTCATTCGAACACAACGGTTAGTGCAAGGACGCGCGGGCCTTGTCCCCCCGTCCACCCAAAAAAACCATTCTTCCTCTCTAAACCGTTCTAAATCCTTTTCATGTATAAGCACACACAAGCTCACGACAACGGCTGCAGATACTGTCGCATGTATTATACCTGTATAGGCGGTATATTGTTATTACTATAGCCGTAAACGTGCGGTCATAATATTCGGCGTTCGCACTTAAAATCGGTCCATATATACTTGTTATATATTGTTCAATATGGCCGCATTATTTGGTTTTGTCCGTCCGCAGCCAAATGTTATAGGTCGTTAAGCGTCATATATTACTGCCATCTACTAAAACGCGACAAACCGGACAATAGGACTACGCCGAGAGAAGAAGAAAAAACCGAGAAAGCAAATATTGTTAAACAGGACCGGCGCGACGCCTTGGACAGATGATCGTGACCCCGTTACCATATTATATTATTATAGATACCTACTACAGTTTTAAATAAAATGATTTTTAAATTCACCAACTATATACAATATATATTATATATACACAAGATATACAGTGTAAACAATCGATTCGAAGGTCTAATAAATTCCAGTGCAGTATTATCATAACGGTTCAGTAATAATATAATATTAGAGGTGTATCTGGAGGATTTAATGGTATATATTTTCATTTAAATAGTTTTATAAAATTGTTAAATTTTCCAGATACACCCTGCAGTGCACTATATATATTAACGATTTTGAAATAATTTACATTAATGTTATAATACTACCTATATAAAATACGTTCATGCGTGAATAAAGGTAATCGTTTAGATAGAAAAAAAACTTACCTACATTTGATGATTATAGCATACCTATATATTATTATATGCGTATTGTATTACACATGTTATAGGTATTACCGCTATATTAAACCGCAGAGACACAGCTGTGTCGTGATTCACCGATCAAAAAGACTTTAACGCCCGGAAACTAGTTTTTCGCACGACAAATTTTCAATATCAAATCCTAATAATCCTATTAAAATACAAAGATCGTTATAAAACTTGGCTTACCTATATAATATATAGGTACTGAACCATTCAGTACAATATACCAGTTGTGGTATTGTAAATCTTCAATGGAACATAAACAGTTATGTGATTACCATATTATAAAACCACGGTTATATCTAGTGACATTATTATCGTTATTTATTTATTATTTGTTATTGTTGTTGATATCATACAGACATGGTTTATTACTGTTATATCGTTCAATACTAGATCATATATTCTATATTTACTAACCAGACTGTGATTAGTTATTACTATTATGGTGTATATAGTGTAATGTTTATGCGTCCCGATTTTGTGATCATTATATTGTTAAATCGATATTGTTATAACCACGAATTCGTATAGACGTATAATATTATAGGTTATTTCGAACAATTATATAACAATTATACAATTGTCGAATTGAGTTATCATTTATTATTCATATAATAACTAATAACTATATATAATATAGTATATGCCATATGGTTATATAATGAAAACAATCCAACTATACTATAATCTAACTTAGAAATACTTATAGGTTAAGTATAAAACTATGCGACCATCGATTGAAAATGCATTTAATTATAGGCATGTTTTATAATTTGTTAAATTTACGTAGGTAGGTTGTAGGTATATTCTCTAAAAAAAAACTTACTGATTTAAAACCTCATAATATAGTACCTACCTACCTCTGAATACATCGATAATGTCGAATGCAATATAGTTCTTACTGCAGCGCGGGTGTAAGTTACATAAGGTTTTAACATATTTATAAGATAATTTTTATTACTAATTTTCATAGCTGCTAGATGATTAAATATTTTAATTTCCAAGTTTGTTGTTTTTGCCTGTAAAATATACATATATTTTATAAAATAGCATAATCGCTGTAGCCTGTAGGCATAAACACTGTGTCCTGCTGCAGTGACGTAGTGTTATAGTATATATATATTATAATATACCTATAACCTATACAGCAGGATTGGCGGTGCGTAACCGCACTTCCTACGTGCTGTTTTTTTCTTATTATTATTCGAAACCCAACAACCCAACCGGTTATTTCACTAAGCAGCTTAGCAGCTGCACTTCATTTGTTCATTCATTTTTCCTATACACTTATTACCGTACGCCATATTTTATTTTAACATTTTCCTCTAAAAAAAGTGCAAGATGTCACTATAATATATGCGTGTGACACTGAAATCGTTAATAATTTTCAGAAATTAAACAACTCCAATTTTAAAACGTAGACGCAAAATACATAATATACTATATTATAGTTGGTCATATAGCACTATATGCTCGTTA